AGTGGAGTTGTTTATATATTATGAATATTTCTTTACATATCCAGTATTATCATGGGCAAATCCTTTCCAAAATTTTTGGGCATGCTGAAAGTTGTAATAAGAATAATAGGCCTATCTCTAGCACCAAACAATAGGCAGAATCATTATTTGGTGTGAATAAAAAAGCATGGACTATTATAAGGCCCATTATACCTACACATGAAATATATTATAATGAAAAAGTATTAAAAATTTATGATGATAATTTAAATTTTCTGGGTCCGTGACTATTAATCTCTATGTAGATGCCCCTGTACACAATATATGTATGCTGACTGGGTACCGCAAGCTTTCGATACAATCTGGCCACGTTAAATGCTTCGAATGACGTCATGCACGCACACTTATTTGCTGTGGCAAACCTCCACACGAGCAAGTGATTGAGTTCCCACAAGCATCACGCTGATTTAAAATGACTAGCCAATAGCTATCAATGTAAAAGCAAACACAACTGATAAGAGAGTTTACACATTATTATTGGCATATTTGTTCTCATATAAAAAGTATATTGACAGTCAAAACTTTCTCTTAAGCATGCGGCATATGCTAAGCAAGCCCAGAGAATTCACCCGAGTATTATAGACTGTATAGATATATATTTTACCAATTGTTTTCTTAATGTATTTTATTGTAATTTTATTTTGCTTGTTAAATATTCTTTTTTTGTGGGACTAATGATTATTTAGTAGTAGAGACACCTCTATAGAGACTATTTACTAACTTTTTAAAAAATAAATAATTTTATTAGTTTTCAAATTCAACATCCAATGATTTTAAAACTGCTTAATTATCTTCTACGTACAATATCTATCTCTTAAAAATTATTTGTTCTTATCAAAAGTATCCACAGTTTAATGAAGGATGTAATTATTTTTAAACACTTACTAAACAAACTAACATAAATTTGTTTACTCTGCTGCTTAATTTTCACAGGCCTACTAATCAAATATTCCTAATCTTTCAGTTTGATTAAAAATCATATGTATTCATGAAACACTAATTAAATTTATAAATTCTGGTAATTAAATACCAGTACTTATAGAAAAAACAAATAAAATTTGACTAGTAAATTAAAGTACTAGTAACTGATTATTAAATTGTAGTATGTTTAAATGAAAGCTTTCAGAACATAATAATATTTATAAATGGTAATTAGCCCCATAGCTTTTCATGAAAACACTTGAAAAGAATAAACAAGTTTTATGGGGGAAAAAATTATTTTTACAAGCAGATAACCTAACATTTTCAAATCACTGACAAAGTTCTTAATTTGGATATAATTAATAATATAATAAATTTGTCAAAAACTTAACCTATAATACAAGAAAAGACTGCCTTAATAAAATTTAGAGCTTTAAAATAATAATAACTAAATTGCTCATATAAAATTTTTGTTCATACACTCATATCCAAAAGACAAGCATAATTGTCCAATCCACAGATGAGTCCAGGTAGTCTACAAAACGTTTCTCATCACAACAGAATGTGAAGAGGGCAAGAATCCCAATATAGTACCATAAAAGTACAGAGACAAGGTTTTGGAATTCAATACAAGATTTTTCTGAGATACTGTGGGTGCAGACTTCATTTTCATGGATGATAGTGCTCACACATACAGGCTACACTCCTGGTAGGGTTTTTTGACAGTGACAATATTAGTTGCAAGGGATGGCCAGCAAAATTGCTGGATATAAATCCCATAGAGAATGTGAGAAATGCTCTAGAGCAGAGTTTCCCAACGGCCAGTTGGGAAACTCTGCTCTAGAGCTAAACTCTGCTTCATAAACTGGTGCCAGTCTGCAAAAAAATTTCACAAGTCTATGGAAAAATATTTGACCGTATTGACGTTGATGCAGTTGATTACAGGTGACTTTCAAATAGTAATCTAGAGTTATTGTATGTAACAAAGTACGTACAGTAATTGTAGATTACTATTTAAATGTCACCCATAATTAACTGCACTAGCATCAGTACAATGAAATATTTTTCTGTAGACTAGTGAAATTTACTGCAGATCAGATGAAAAACAGTTCTTGGTGGAGCTGCATTTTCTCAGCCTCCACCAAGAGCACTCTAGGAACTTTATGATGATGATGTTCAATAACAGACTTTGCTCCTGAGAGTCAATAGATTTTATAAGTAGCATGAGCAACTGTTGTACAGTGTGTATATATGCAGAAAGCACCCACACACCATATTAATCATTACTGTGCAAAACAAAACTTAATATTTTTTCTTTTTGTTTTTGGTTTTGATGTAATTTAATTAAATTTTTGCTTTCCAGTTGTTTTCACTGCATAAAAGTTACAAGGTTCTGCTTATAGTTTCATGATGTTCTGATGAGTAGTTCCTGAGATATAGGCCAAAAATTAATAGTTATTAGTTTTTTTTAGCACAAGTCTATTACCTTTAATTACTTTATTACTACTTGAATTTCATTTTATATTTGCTACAATTATATTCTGTACTTAAATTTTATTATAATAATCTTAAAAATATTTGTAAGACAATCTGAATTACCAATTTAAATAATTAATTGCAATTCATTACTTTATACAAGTCGAAAAAGATAAGTAAAAATTCTGAAATCACTTCGTATATTAAAATGCTTTCTAAATAATGATTATTGTATGGATATTTATGGTTCAGATACTGTAAAGTGTTATCTGCATTAAGTTGATTTATTTATTTCCAAAATATCTATTTTACTTTAAATATCAAATAAGTTGATAATTTTGTTTACTTACATTGATAAAATTTTAATGATAGTCTGATGATTAAAATATCAGCTAATAAAAACACTGATACAAATATGAAATGTAACACAATATTAAAAAAAAATCTTAATTACTTATCGTGACATCGCCAGGCTGCAATTTTTAATCATATTTTAATTTAAAAATTAATTGCGGCCTCTAGCACTAAGCTTTCTGTATCTGGTTTGAATTTTCATCTAAGTAACTCCATTTTCAAGATAAATAGAGAACAATAGACAGGCAGATGGATAACAGTGGAAATTAATAGGTCTGTTCAACCCACTAAACGTTTCATATAATATTAGTTTAAAATATTATCTGTTAGTCTTCTGTTTTCAATGTATTGTTCTTATTCCGCCAAGACTTAAATGTTATTCAATATATAGTATTAGAATATATTTTATTAAATAATTATGCAAATTTAGAATACTAAGTATTATTACAGGGAGTAATAGTATAGTATAATTAGTTTTATTATAATAAAGAGAATTTAATAAAATTAGTAAAATATTTATTATCATTATCAATACTTCCTTTACCATGACTTTTGTGATCCCTATTAAAGTTTCATACCTTACGGGCATAGTTAATGTATGTCAAATGCATGACTTAATTTTTTCCAGTTGCTCTCTACTTTTAAACATTTTGAGTTTCAAAATTCAATTTCTATTTTATAAAAAAATAAAAAGCTAAATGTTCTTAATGTAACAAAATTTAATACTATAATAAAGAACGTCTTTTCATTGAATAAGGTTGAATACTTAGGTAAAGGAAATAACTTTTTTAATAGCCTGTATTTGATATTTATAATTTTAAATCTTAATGATTTACAATCCTGTAAAGCTATAAAATCACTTTTACGATATCAATTCTTAAGCCAGAAATAAATTTTAACCTATAAAAGTAATTACTAGTGATTTTAATATTAAAAAATTTTATGATTTATTAATACAGTTACAAGTTCTAGTTTTATTTTATTTTCTAAATTATATTCAAAATAGAAACAAATTATAACAAAATCCTAATCGTGTAATTTCATATAACTCGAACACGTGATAACGTAATAAAAGTAATTTAAAATAAACTATCCGGTACTTTACAATCACATATATAGAAACAGATATAAAAATATTATCGGCCAAGTAGAATTACCAGTATTCAAATTTGTCACAAGCCAGTAGATTTACTGGTACTGGAATTTAAATTTCGGGCAAAATTTAACAGTGCTATTTTTAATAACCTATATTTTCTATAGTTGCTTATTTTATTTACATATTTACTTATCAGTAAGTATAGTATTGTAAATATCAGTACGACAATTATGCGTAAATTATAGTTGGTTATTATTTTACGATGAGCTAACTTGGAAAAAAATTAAACAAATCCGTAACTTTTTCCATTTTGTTTTGTAATAAACTGACATTTTCCAGTATAAGACTAGACTGGGAACACGCAACAACCATAGTAATATGCAAACTCCAAATGAGGTACTTTTTCTTTAACTGGGCACCAGTCATTTTTACTACTATTTTTAGCGAAATCTATATTTTATTTTGTAATTCACACATTTAACATTATAATGAATATGTTCATACACATGTGTATAAACATATTCATTGTAATTGAATCGAATGGCGTCCAAGTTAACGGAAAAGCACCAAGGAATTTACCACCCGCCAATACAAGCAAAAATTTCGAAGGAACAACACCCGTACACGTGACCCTTCCCTAGATATTCACCTCCAACGGTGAGTTTTTACCACAAACCAGTATACTACCTATTCTCCATGCTAACACCACATTCACACGGACAAAATAGTTAAACGCGAGTCTTAGCAAAGCCACGCGATCGGGAAGCGACCAGATTTCGGGGGGCCTATCCTGCAAAGGGTCGCATATAGAGGTACTGTTCCTTTGACTTTTTCTCTCCCGGGGTACAGTTTATGACTGCGACAAGGTCCCAACTAATCGTACCGCCGCAGTCTCTTTAACTGCTGCAACCGCACCTACTGCTCGCAGCAGTGTTTATTAAGTATCTGACGAATATATCTGTGAGATATTTAACTTAAAAACATGATAAAATCACTTCAGCAACATAAAAAACAAAATTATATTGATTCAAAATCTGTGAATGAAACCAGGTAGAAAGTGATTACTTAATGTTAAATAAGTAAGCAATTAGTTAGAAAATAAGCAATTATTTACCTGCTTTCCCTTCCACGCTTTTAGATATAAGCAAAAATATGACAAATACTACAGAATTCATCTCTCCAGTTTGTAGCATTCGATCGCAATTTACCTTCTCTCGGTATAAATATTTAATGTCATATTGTAATATAATCGAAGCTTACATTCCGATACACTGGATAATTTACTTATTTCTATTGATTTTCTCCTTTAATTTATTGATAATCTACATTCTGATCAACACTATCGCTTACCACTTAATGGCCGATTACATTCTAAAACATATTGCGCATGAGTAAATAAACAGCGCCATCTGTTGGTATAAATTAGCCTTTACTGTACTACGTCAATGGCCTTAATCTGTGAAGTCATACTGTATTTTAAACACTAAATATTATTACTTTGTGTAAAAAATAAATAATTAAATTTGTGTACGTTTTATTTTTCGTTTGAATATTTTAAGGACGATTCGGAAACGAAAATTTATTAATTAATTAAAAGTATAAGAAGATAAGTAGCGTTGGCAAGGAATTTATATTTAGAATAAAGGTCACTGTTGGAAATCGCAGCGATCTAGATTCTAAAATACACAAATATTTTACTTTTTTTTTTAATTTTATTGTCATACGAAATATTTATATTCGGCAGATGGAAATAGTCCAAAAATTTTTTGAATTTTTTGTATTACTCTTTTATTGCTTGATGCATTTTTAAACCGATGTTTTATAATGGGATTTAAATAAATGACGAAATTATTTGTAGAGTATATAATAACTGTAAACTCTATATTTTCGTTATTTATTTAGAGGTTTCGGTTTTCGGTGTTTTATTTAAATGACAAAATTATAAAATGAATGATATTGATAAATAACACGCTTGATTAGGTAGCCATACATTTCACTATTACGTATGACAATACAGCTGATATTGTCACGTATAATTGTAACTGTAGGCGAGTGGATAAAACTACTAAACATTATTCGGGGATTTGTGCATTATCAACGGACTGGTTACGTGGAGTTTTCGGGTTTTCTTTATATATGTAATACCTAAACAGGAGTGCCGAGTGGATAAATCTACTGAATATTTCTATTTTGTCTTGGGATAGCGTTCGCCAATGAGTTAGGTACCATGTTAGTAACGTTTTCTTCACGTTAATAACACTAAAGCCAGTCAGTACAGTGGCGTACCGTGGGTGTCAGCCGCCCGGGGCGGAGGAAAATTTCGGCTCCCCTTTATTTAGGTATTTCAATTTAAATAGCCAAAATTCAGTTTTGTCACAGAACAAGCAATGAAAAATTCGGTGGTAGTGCAGCGACCTGTTTAAAATAGTTCTATTGGATATTAGTGGTGTATATGAACGCGAATGAATCGTACGAGCAAAAAATAAAAAATAAAAGAAAAAGAAAAGAAAAGGTCAACAGGTTTCGCAGGATTTCCTCGGATGAAAAAATTACTACTTCACCCGGACGGCGAGCCGATTCCCGGACTATCCGGACGAAAGCACTATTGTAGGCGCGATGCAAGTATAGATTAGGATCTTTCAAGTTTTTACAAGATATTATTATTATTTATTGTGAAATTTTGCCGCCCCTGAAAGGTAATTTTGCCGCCCCCTAAAAAGTGCCGCCCGGGGCGGGCCGCCCCTGCCGCCCCCACTACGGTACGCCACTGAAGCCAGTTTTCCATAAAAGACCTACCGGAAGGCATTCTCCTCGGCAGATCCCCTATGCATCACGTTTCCGTACGAATACGAATATAACCGAACCTAAACAGGGCCAGTTTCCTGTAGAAATTCCTTCAGGAAGGCATCCCCCTCGGAAAATCGTCCACGTGCGTATAAACAATTGTAATAGTACATTCTCAAAGTTATAATATAGCATCTTTGTATCACTAATGCCATAATTACATATAACAATAGTATGTATGTATGTATGTATCACAGTAAATATCACAATAAAGTATGTATCACAGTAAATAGTATGTACTATACAGTACCACAATATGTTATATTGTTGCTTGTATTGTTTTATACTTTTATATTTAATGGTTAATGTAACTTAAAATAGTGAGATCACTAATCGTTGGATTTTTATTGTAAACAAAGCGTAAAAAAAATGAACCAGTGAGATTCTAGACCGGATCCGATTCCGGTTCCTCCACAAATCCGCTTTATTTAATTAAATTATGCAGTATACGCATGGTTTGTCGTAAGTCGTTCAGTCGTCTTGCGTTGTAAACATAAAAAAATATAAAAGCTCTTATAAAAACTCGATAAGTAATTACTTTAAGCTATGACCTACATTAATTCAGGAAGGATACAAATTGTACACGAGTTATTACGGTATTTAAATTTTTATATTATTATTATAAAACGGGGGAAAAAAAACTTAAATTTGAGGGTGGAGGTGAGTTTCGTGAAAAAATTGTACATGCTAATTACGAATAACATATTCATTAAGTCGAACCACACTCGAGTGATAACACACGACCCTTTCAATCTTTCCACCTCTCAACCTTCAACCACCAAAATTTAATAGCATTAATGCATGTAACATACAAACCTCCCTGCAAAATTTCAGAAATTTTAAACAGAAAGCACAGGAGTTATTAAGCTTCAAAATGGGCGAATAAAATCGTTTAACTCATACATACGCTCTCACACATTAATTACCACTTAAATAGGGGCCAGTTTTCTATTAAAAAAAAATATCTCCTGGGACAGAGTCGACCTTAAGAGGTGCGGGACCCAATTGGGAACAATTTTTGTGGTCCCCAGTGTGAAAAGCAATCATAATGTGCATTTAAAAAATGATTGATCAAACTACATTTTAATACAAAATTGCATACGTGTAAGCCTACAAGTAACAAACAAAATTTGTATATCACTTCTAAAAAGGTCACAATTGCTTTAGTGACTGTGAAATGATTTATTGGGCTACAATTTTATCAAATTGTAGTCCAATAAACATATAAATTCCCACTCATTATAAAATTTAAATACTTGATTCTAAATATTGACCCTATGGAGTAGAGTCGGGGAATTTCGCCAGATCTAAGCCATTGCAATGCTTTAGCAAATTTTGCTTTACACCGGTGCAGCCCGTGGCCTACGTGATAGAAGGCCACGTTCGTGTTCTAATCCCTTTTTCCCTATATATAATTTCAATGGGGAAATTACAGCAGTATATAAATCAATAGTTATTTTTTATAATTGAATACGGTAAAAGATCTTTAAATACAGTACATTACAATAGATGGTGCCACTAGTTTTATGTGTATTAACCAATTAATTATACGCAGAAAAGATACCAAAGTTTAATGTACAGTACCAAACGTACAGTACCAATGATTAATTATGAAATGGAGCTTTTTTTAGAATATATAACGATAATATAAATAATATAAGATAAATATAGTGTTTAAAAAATATTTGAATGTTATGTAAGCTAGTAACTTTTGAAAATATTTCATTAAGATTTAACATATCTGGTAAGCAAGCCAATGACGTACTCCGTTTCATTTGAACCGGGCTTTATCATTGGCTTGTTCACCCAGCTTTATAAAAGGAACTTCACCAGACAACGCGCCTATTTTCTTCCTTTTAAATTAATTTTCATTGGAAAATTGTTTTTTAAAAATATCAAACAAGTTAAAATTAACAAAACAATTTCTTTCATTCAAATATTAATTAATTTTATTTATCTATGGATTACGTTTTCGGCAGACAAATGTTATTAGTTAGACAGCTCCCTCTGGTGATCGTAAAACCAAAATGTTACACTAACGCCTGCTTTAATTGTAATTAAACACAGAATTTCATTGTACTGGATTTCAAAATAATTAAATTTATTATTATTATTAAATTAATTTTAAAAATAAATAAATAAGTATATTCTAATATACGATGCTATTGCAAAATAACAAAAAAAAAAAAAAAAAAAACAATATTACTATAGGCTCTATAGGGACCCTCCATTAATTAATTACGTTTACAGTTTTTGAGCTAGTTCTGATCCCCTCCCTCTTCGTAGTGTTCAATGATGTACTTTTCGCCAGTGTTCATGATTTTATACAATATATGTTTGGTTCAAGGGAGTATGCGGGTCACATTCACAAGGTTACGTGAAAAATACAAGCAAACACGGTTAACTGACTTTCGAACAATCTTTATACGCTTATATATAGAAGAATTTAATACAATAACCGGCAAGCTTGGAACCGGAAGTGATCCGAATTTCTGAATTTTCTGTACGTAAGCTAAATATATACTGAAAAATATATGAAACAATGGAGAGTGAACCGACGAAAATATATTTAACGTCATATGTCAGCAGTCATACTGGAAGTAGTGACACACACTACTGAAACCAAAATAAGGCGGCTGGGAGGCAAATTACAGTTTTACTACAGCCCACCGAATTCAAAAACAGCGGCGGCCTTATCCATTGCGAGGCTCTTGGCGGCAGATCTTTGCTAGGCCCTTGTCCTTTGTGCAAAGTATGTGAATTGAAATAGTAGGCACTTATTAATATTAATATATACTGTACTATAAATTAAATTTATTTTATTGTTATAACTAATAGCCAAAGATAAAATAAAAAGTTTTAAATATCAACTTTTTTCTACTGGGTTGTTGCGCGAGGCCCCTCCAAGAGCGAGGCCCCGGGCGATTGCCCTGCTCGCCACCCCCTAAGGCCGCCACTGTTCAAAAATGGCCGATTTTCTGTAATTCCGGATTTCTGAAAGACTGATAAAAATGGCCAGATACTATATTAAATCGTGTAAAATGGATCGGATTGATGGAATAAGGAAACGCAACACTTACGCGATTTGCCAAAGTTGGATACTTTACTTTAGGACTTTCTACGGGAAAATGGCTCCTGTTTAAGTGCTAGAAACGTGAAAAAATTCCTTGAAACTCCACGCATCTAACACCTCAATAAAAGTAATTTTCCATAGAAAGTTCTTCCAGAGTATCTAATCTCGAGTTCTGTGAGTAATAACACAAAATGGTGTGAATATCACATGTTGCTGAGTTAGTATTACGTGATATTCATACAATTTCTTGGTACTAGTTCAGTGAATGTTCTTACTGAAGGAGTACACTCACAACAAATTCGTGTTATACCCATATAGCTCGAGATTAGATAACTGCAGGCATATTCCTATGTTAGATCGTCCAATCCAATCCTTCTTTATACCATGAAATGTTAAAACCCAAACACCATGAAAATGAAAACGGTGTTTTTTGCATGAAACAATATTAATTACGCTGTTATTCATCTT